CGAATATTTCTGCGCAAGATGTGCCAATAGGCGCAGATGAGAACTCTAATTTAGAGGTGAGAAGATATGGAGGGAAAAGACAGTTTGATTTTGTACCGGAATCTCATTATGAACTCGGAGAAAAATTAGGTTTAATGGACTTCGAACAAGCGGCGAAAATTTCCGGATCAAGATTTGCGATATTAAAAGGACAGTTAGCTAGGCTTGGCCGAGCATTAATAAATTTTATGCTTGAAATGCATGTTAATGAATTTGGCTATACTGAAGTGTACCACCCAGCTTTGGTGAAAAACGAAGCTATGTATAATGTTGGTCAGCTACCGAAATTTTCTGACGATTCGTATTTAACTACCGACGAATTGAGGTTGATTCCCACAAGTGAAGTGTTTTTAACAAGTTTGGTTGCTGATAAAATAGTAGAGGAAAAAGAACTGCCTATTCGTTTTACTGCGTATTCAGAGTGTTTTCGTAAAGAAGCAGGCAGCGCAGGACGAGACACGAGAGGCATGATAAGGCAACACCAATTTGGTAAAGTGGAGTTGGTGAGTATTACAGCTGAAGACCAATCAAATGATGAACTTGAGCGCATGACGAGTGTTGTTGAAGAGATATTAAAAAAACTAGAATTACCGTATAGAGTAATGCTACTGTGTAGTGGTGATATGGGTTTTGCTGCACAAAGGACTTATGACATAGAGGTATGGTTACCTGAGCAAAATAAATATAGAGAAATATCAAGCTGCTCAAATTGTGGTGCATTTCAAGCAAGAAGGATGAACGCTAAATACTCTTCAGAAACTGATAAAAAGATAAAAAAATATGTTCACACTTTAAACGGCACAGCTTTAGCTATAGGAAGAACGATTGTTGCCATAATGGAGAATTATCAAAATTCTGACGGGTCGATTGCAATACCAAACGTGTTGCAAAAATACATGAGTAATGATACTGTTATAAGTAAATAATGATTTTGACATATAGAAAAGCGAGGAAATAAAGATGAAGGTTCTGGTTATAGGTTCTGGTGGACGTGAGCACGCTCTACTTTGGGCTTTAAAAAAATCTCCTATCTTAACTGAGGTATATGTCACTCCTGGTCGCCAAGCTATGAAAGATCTTGGGACTCTTGTGGATGTAAATATTCAAAATTCAGTGGATGTTACACAATTTTGCAAGAAAGAAAATATAGAGTTGGTTGTTATTGGTCCAGAACAACCAATAATTGATGGGCTTGCTGATGATTTAGTTGCAGAGGGAATAAGTGTTTTTGCTCCAAGTCAAGCAACTGCAAAACTTGAGGGATCAAAGTCTTTCACCAAAGGACTATGCAAGCGATATGGCATACCAACTGCCAAGTACGAGTGTTTTGTTGATGAAGGATTAGCTAAAGATTTTGTACGTAGCAATAAAATAAAGTTTCCACTTGTAGTGAAAGCAGATGGAATTGCAGCAGGGAAAGGCGTGATGATATGTTGCGCAGAAAACGAAGCTTTTTCAGCAATAGATTCAATGCTGGTGGAGAAAGAATTTGGTGAATCAGGTGAAGAAATAATCATAGAAGAATTTTTAATTGGAGAAGAAGTAAGCTTTTTTGCTCTTGTTGATGGGTTGAAAGTAGTAACTCTTGGGTGCGCAAAAGATTATAAGAGAGTGAATGAAAATAATGAAGGCCAAAATACTGGGGGTATGGGATCGTACTCATCACCTTCAATTATAAGTAAGGACATGGAGCAAAAAATCATCCAAAAAATAATATACCCTACAGCTCAAGCATTGGTTAACATGGGTACGCCTTATAAGGGAGTACTCTTTGCTGGTTTAATGATTTGCAGAGATGGCCCAAAACTTCTCGAGTATAACGTTAGATTTGGTGATCCAGAAACGCAATCTATATTACCTAGATTTGATTCAAATTGCGATTTGTTAAAATTGATGTTGTCAGTTGCAGAAGGAAAGTTAAATGTCAAAATGGTGGAACTTAACAACAAATCTACAGTTTGTGTAGTTGTTGCAAGTAAAGGCTATCCGGGTGATTATCAAAAGGGAGAAGTAATTAAGGGATTAGATAAAATTGAAAGCATTCCTGGTATATTGGTATTTCACGCTGGTACTAAATTAGATGAGAGTGGTAACTTAGTTTCCGATGGCGGAAGAGTGCTAAATATAGTAGCAGAAGGGAGCACTATAGAGGAAGCCAAAAGTAAGGTGTACTCAGCATTAAATTTTTTAGAATGGCCAGGGGGCTTCTTCAGATACGATATTGGTAGTTAATGTTAGCTGTCGGTTAGCAGGTAGCCAGCATCAGCGAGTATATTTTTGACTTCAGAGAGGTTTGCTTTAGCATTTTTCACCATTTTCACAGCACTAGTTGCTTCTGCCGTTGTTATATGAATTGCATGTCTTGTGTATCAACTGCGATA